TCTAACCTGAAGAAGAGCTTGCTATTTGTCTGGCAGTGAGGTAATTAAGTCGCCTTTCAGAAATAGATTGAATGTCTTCAGTGGATCGACATTGCAATAAGTCTTTAGAAACAAAGGATTTGGAGAGACAGCTAAGAAATATGGTGTGTTTTCAAGGTCACTGGGAAAGGGTGCATTAGGATGTGAAAAGCTTTTGGAAGAACAAACTCATATACTGGCATCGCATTTTGAACTCAAAGTAATTATAACTTCAGTCGCCCTTAAAACTGCCTTCATAAAACAGGTAAAATTTTTATATTTTACAGTATGGTCTATAAAATTATAGCATGGCAAAGATGTAAATAATAAGGATGGTATTTTAAAACTCTGACTGCTGTGGCATCCAGATGCTTCAAGCACAATACACAGGCATGGGAGCACTTGTGGTTTTCCTTCAGCCCACACTCTCTCAGTCTAGATAGGACCTTCTCCACTGCCCCATCTACCTACTAGAAGTAATGCAAAGTGGGGCACGATGCTGGGAAGAGTCTCAACCATGTTGGGAGAGGCACTGACTTCAGTCTGCCCCTAATAACATAGATGTGAGAGTATCTGAAAGTGTAGAGTAATAAATTCTAAATTAACTTTTAAAAATCCAATGATATTTGATAGTGTTGCTCAGAGCTGCACAGTGTTATGTCAGAAATGATCCAGGGGTTTGCGATAATGTATACTGCTGCTGCTGCTGTTGTCAGCATTGCCGGAAGAGGAGTTCCGATTGGTAAAGGAAATGTTGTATTCTTTTTCAGTGATGTTGCTAGCCATGAGTATAGCCTTTGATGACAAAAGGGGAAACAATACCTTTGATAGTAGGACAGGGAAACAATACAAAACAGAGGGAGATACACACAGACAGACAAAGATTTCATAATAAGATAACAGAAGACAAACGAAGAAAGAAATTGATGTGCAAAACACACTTACAAAGCAGCTCAAACATATGAAAAAATCTTTAAAATAATTTTATTTCTCCTAATACAAACCCCCAGCTTAAAGAGAAACAGGAGCTTCAGAAGCTCATTGCAATAAGGTAAATGCTGCTTTAATACAATCTCCTTTCTATTGAATAAAGGTCAAACCACAGACACTTGGGTTGCTTTCCCTGACATGGCTGGTGGCTGTGATTACTAATCTTTACATGATACAAGCAGACCTAAAAAAAATCCAAAAGACTTTCAAAAGAAGAAAAAAGGCAGCTGCAGAGATGCAACAAACACAGTAAGATAAGATGTCTGATAGATTAAATTAAACCTTCAGCTCTTCTGACAATTGAAGGAAAAGTGAACTCTATCTAGAGAGCTCCAAAAATTATTACATCTCACAAGGGAAGGTGCAGCTTCTCTACCTTGCAATACATTTGGCCTTTCTTAGCAATTGCACGGTCCATCACAGTACCAGCTGGGTAAGGGTTGCCAAACTCAAGGTGGGGTTTGAAGAGTGCCTGGAATGACAACAGATCTCCAGATTACAGAGATCTGCTAAAAAGAAAAGGTTCTGAATTGTTTCTCCCTTTTGATCCTGCTTCTTCTCATATATTGGCTGAGTTCAGACTGGCAGTTTGAAGCAGGAGGGAGTCATGGCAAAAAAGAGCCGGAACAAACTGTTCCGGGTTTTCCTGTTCACACTGCAGCTACTGATGCAGGAGCATTCCGTGAGGAGGTGCAAGGGAACATTCACACTGTTGGCCCAGAGGAACGGCTGTAAGGCACTGCTTTCTTTTCGGTAATAAATGTATAAGAAAAAACATGGCTTTTGGCATTCACACTTTGTTGGTGCGGGATGGGTGTGGGATCATCACGCTTTCCAGGGTTCGATACCCCTTTCACCAGGTATGTTTTAAACTCAGGAGTGAAGCGTTACAAGACGGGTTGAGTACGGGTGGGGAATGCCTGACAGATGTGCCTGTGTGAACGGCCCCTTTAATCCAGTTGTGAACGTTTCTGAAACGTGCCTATATCAGGGCAAACTGACAGTCTGAACTCGGCCATTGTTTTCTTGACCTTCCTTATGGCTCTGGTCAGGGCTTTTTTTCCTGGAAGAATGCACTGGAACAGAGTTCCAGAACCTCTTCAACAAAATTATTTTTAAAAAGGTTAAAAGTTCATGAGTTTTCAGTATACAGATTGAAAACTTCATTTCCCTTTTGAGAGTTCTGGCAACTCTTTAAACAAAAAAAGCCCCAGCTGTGGTATACATGTGGATATAATACGGGTGAAGAAAATAATGTGGGATTTACACATTAGAATATTACCACCCCACCCTAGTGGTTTATCTGTTAGCCTGTTTATCTGTTTATTAAAGGTTATGCTAATGAGCTCCAGCAGCTCTTTTTCTACAAAAAGACCCCTGCATCAAACTACTCTTTATCTTCTTCTTATCTTCAGCTATATTTATTATTCATTTACTTCATTTATACCTCATCTTTCTTCAGTGGATACCAAAGAAGCTTACATCATTCTCTTCTCCTTTTTATCCTCACAACAACTTTGTGGTGTAGGTTAGGCTGAAAGTATGTGACTCGCCCAACATCACCTAGCGAACTTTCATGGCAGATTGGTGGTTTGAATCTTGGTCTTCCAGACTCTGCTGTGAAGCTCTAACTGCTACACCATACTGGCTTTCATAGGGTGTATGCCTTTGAATAGTAGCAAGCAGCCAGGCCTTGGTGAGCCATGTAAGTCAAATGGTATCAAGTCACTCAGTCACTCAGACCTGGCCTCAATGAATCCTCCCTCAAAGGCCAAAACAGCCCAGGAAGGGGCTCTGCCTCCCCCACCTTTTACTGACAAGAAACAAAGCCTAGAATGCTGTGGTTATCTAGCAACAGCCACTGAGGGCTTCTGTTTCTTAAAGCTACAGGTGGCCCTTATACTAATTTGGGGTTTTTTTTACCACCACCCCATTTCTTTAGATTTTTCTGGTAACCTGGGGATTTTTTAGGTTTGTAGAAAGATCTGTCTTGTCTATTTACAGCTCCAATCACAGGATTTAAGTATCTTCAGATCTGGCTGACTTGGCTTTTAGAACATACAAGTGGTAACCCATGATACTTGCTGGGTAGGGATTCTTCTCCCCTCTTAATTTATCATCCTCACCAGGGCTGAAGCAGCTCCCAGCCACCCCCCCCCCCATTACCAGCAACACCAATGGGCCCAGTATGCCTCCTGGCTTTGCCACTGAGGCTACTGTAGCTTTTCCACTTCATTGATGCTGCTGAAGCCAAAGCCACCATGGCTTCTGTCCTCCACAGCAATAACTCTTGCTGGGTCTGGCACACCTCTCAGACTCTGTCGCTGGGCTCAACACAGTGCCTTTCACTGCTCCAGTTCCCAGGCACTCCCCACATCGTTGCCATCAATGCCCATGCCTTGAGGAGGTATGTGCAATGTCTGCACATACACAGACAATGGTTTAGTTTAGGGTAGATTTAAACCCCCCAATGCATTTTTTTCTTTCCTTCTAAGTCAAATGAAGTCAATGGACATAGTCTCTTTAGCACTGTGTAGCTTCAAACATCTAGTTAAACCTGTTTCAAATTGAGGCTTTATACTCTCTATAGTAGCTTGGACAGAACTCCATCCACATGTATGGAACGGTGAGTGAAAGTGGCAGTACAATACTCAGTGTATTTTTTCACTGTTCAATAAAGTTCTATTCCAAATAA